CCTGCTGGTACGAGACTCGAACCCGCAACCTTTGGGTTACGAGTCCTACTCTCTAACCATTAGGCCACGACTTCCCATAAACAAACCTCAAACCCCATAAACAAAGCAGCTGCACTACTTCCTAAAAACTTACTTAAATGGTAAACCATAGATGCATATCTGTCAGAGTGAAGATTTAGTCGCATATGCGAGTGATTTACTCGCAATGTAGAGGGTTGAAGGTACTTAAAAAGTACTTGAATTTTTAAAAGGCAGTATATATGAAATTAGTGTTCATTTTTGTTTTCGATTAAAAACTATCTTTTTACGCAAAATTAACAATGCTGCACGTGTAAAATACCATTTCTCCCGGCTTTTGGGAGCGCTCGAGATCTTGCGATATTACTAGAAAAGCGGTCTCGCGATATCAGTATAAAGTTGAGTTTGTGGTAAAACCTTTTGATAGTGCTTGCATTAGACATGTGCTGGTATTCGGTAATGCGATATATCACGGTAATGAATATGCACGGTATTGTTATCGTGGGCACTTCAAAATACCATGAATAATTATTTAAAACAAATTATTCCGATTTTTTGAACGCATTAAGATTATTTTCTCCATCAACTGGTCACAATGCACAACACCGCTGTGTGCTGCGTAAAAGACCGCATGCGCACTCTGATGTAAACAAGCTTTTGCTTTAGACCATTTACAAATGTTAAGTCTTAAAATAAAATATTAAGGTTACCACTGCATGTTTCTGGGGAAAAAATGCAGAGATTGAATATAGTTTATTTATAGTTATTTTCAAATCTTCAATGTACTGTCATTATAAAAGAACTTCATTATTGTTTATTTAATTCTAACAAATAAGTTCGTTAAAAACTAACCAAAATTAAAAAGAATTTGCTTATAATTTGTGCACAGGAGAGACTTGGTGTTGTTTCCAAACAAAAGGAAATATATCGGCATCGGCTATCGACCAAAATGAGTTGAAAAATATCGGCATATCTGATATTGGCAAAAATCCAATATTGTGCATCCCTAAAAAAATGTATTAAACCTGTTATAGTTTATGACCACTTTTTTTGCAACTAAATTTCTATTTCGTGATAATACCGTATACCGTGATAAAAGCATTAGCAATTAATTGCAACATGAACATTTCTTACCATCATATGCCTAACTTGCATTATATTGTTCGGTCTTTTATTGCATGTGCTGTTTGTTTGGGTTTCAACGCATATAAAGTCTGACACACTTTGTGTTGCACTGTTATCATTTGCAAACGTGGAGCACGTCTCCATCTCAGCAGCTCGGTCGACAAACTCTTCCTCTGCATATGCTGTGAGTTTGGGTTTCTTAATGTTTATCTGGGAAAACTGTGCGTTATCTCGCTAGATTTGTAATATAAATCATTTATAAACCTATGCCAGGTGCGCTTACTCTTGCCCAGGGCAAGTAAGACTGCAACTCAAGGCTGGCAGTCATGCATATGCTCTGGAACAGAGTAATATCACGTCCACATCGCAGGCTTTGCGATTAGCAAATTGCAACGTATCAAATCGCGATTTCGATTCGATTTCGATTAATCGCACAGCCCTAGCTGTACATAGCGATTTCAAAATAAAAGTTGCTCTGAGTTTGCTTGTGTCCGCATGAAATCAAAATTTACCATATTTATTTTTGCACATTGTTAGTCTTAAAGTGAACAATTAATCCTCTGAAAAAAATTGTCTTGGTAATCTTTAATCAAAATCTGATCATTTGTTTCCGCTCCGGAATGGCGCTCCTGCTCTGATGAGGTCAGTTTGACGGCTTGGGCAGAATTTGCTTAATCACGCCCCTCCAACCGTTAGTTTGCTGCGAGTGAAAGATGAGGAGGAGCTCAAAAATAAAACCTCGCCCTCTACTCAATATTCTGTTTCAGGTGGATATACATCACCATACTGAAAGTCAGCAGCAACTTCCAGTTCACGCGGACTTTAAGTTGGTTATGTTCATATTATATATATAGGCATAATACATTATGTATTTTAACAGTGTTGTTCAATAAAACCATGTAATTACTTGGTTTTGATACTTTAATGATGAGGCAATCATAATTGGTTCAAATAGTTTATATATAAATAGTCATACTAAAGCCAGATTACTCAATTGTCAAAATAATCAGTAGATTACTTAATTACCTAAATAATTGTTAGTTACGGCCCTAGATTAGTTAAACATTTCAAAGTACAACCGCATTGTTTTGCATTTTGTGATTAAACGACAAATGTTTTGTAATTGAAAATTTCTTAAAACTATTAAAATATTATCTCGTTCTAGTGAACCAAGTCTCTGTATTTTGTCCCAGCTCATGAGCTAAGTTTGTCACACACCTAGTGCATGATATAGCTCATAATTTTCCAAGTGTATGATATAGCTTTCATTCATACGGTAAATCGTGTATTCATAAAATAAAAGGAAAGTGATAACTTTGCCATAGTATCCTTTCAAATGTTAAAGTGGCCACAGTCATTGCATGCTTTGCTTGTGCTGCACTTTATTTGTACCACTTTATTTTATTAGTTTATTTATTATTATTTGAAAGATAACAATATTGTTAGAAAGTCCTTAAGTCCTGGAATGTCGTTTTGCAGTATATGTAGGAACCCTGCATCTGAATCATTACCGAGTGTTCTGTCATAGTAAAAAAAAAAAAAAAAAATTTATACACTTACCTATTTTTGCATTCATTTTCTTCCCTTTTTTTTTTTTTTTTAATTTACATTTTCTCTTTTTGTGCTTTTTTTTTTTTTTTTTTGCTTTTTCTTTCAGACCCATGCTCTCTCGGGTCCTCACCACTCAGGAGGTCACGGCCCTCCACCTGTGATGTTGCTTCATGCCCCACCACCCCCTCAGCAGGGTTCTGGCCCCCAGCATGGGCATCCTCCACCCCAGCAGGGACCCCACCAGCACTACACCTACATTGGACCACCTCAGGGTGAGTTTCTTACAAACAAAAAACCAAATACGTTTGTTTGTTGCAGTCAAGTAATTTGTGTGCTGAAAGCTACAAGCTTACAGAATTAGATCTAATTGATATTTAAAATACAGCATTGTGCAAATGCATTTACCAAGATTTTATTTGTATTACTTTTACTATTCAGTTTTTAATTTGTTTTATTACAAATTATTAATTTGTGTGTTTCTCTGCTCCCATCAGTGTCAGTGCAGGCTCATCCTTCCCAGCAGATTCCATTCCACCCTCCTGGAAACTGACAGAGCGGCTGAGACTGAAACTGTGTGGATCACCACAGAGTGACAGAGAGCGCCCCCATCTGGATCTCCTGTGTGATCGCATATGCGTTTGTACATAAAATCCAACTGAACAGATTTTGTTTTAGATACCTCTGGCAAGACTGAATGTGCTTGTTTTATTGGGGGTTTTTTTTCCTTTTTATTTTTAATTTGAGTGGACGGGGGCACAGTGTCTAATGCAGAAAGAGGGAACGAGTGAGCGTGTAAGAAGGAACAAAAATGGAAAGAATGAGGGACATTTTTATAAAAAATACAGTGCCCTCTCTCTTTGTCCTCAACCCCCTTATTAAATAAGCAAATAATAAATGGTTAAAAAAAAGAACAAAAAAAAAAAGTGTATAAAAATAAATTTTTAAACTCTCCTTTTGTCTCATGTGTTTTGAATGTTATTCTCGGAGTTGATCTTTACGGCTGGCATTCGCTAAATTTCTCAGCCATAATTACAATTTCTATTCATATTGTAGCACCATACACCATATGATTTGTACATCTTGTATTGTAAAATTTATGTAGCCATTTACAAACCAATAGCTAACATGTTTATTCATTTTAATGACAAAAAGCTATATATTACATGGCAGAGTCAAAAAAAAAAGTTAATATATTTGAAAGTAAAAGCCTGGATGCAGTACACTGTAAACAGCAAATGTTAATAAAAAAAACATAAAAAACATTCTCAGGTTTCGTCAGCAAATCTGTCATAAGGATTGAGGGAGGAAGTTTTCGGAGGTGACGATGGTTCAAAGCTTTCTTGGTGATGCACTTCAAAATTCAAAGCACAGGTAAATCTGAAAACTCTTCTGGCAGTCAGGATGATTCTTAGGTCTGACCTTTTTAACTGTCATTATTTGGTAAAAGGCAAATCCTGAAGAAAAGGAAAATGGAATAAGATTTTTTTTTCTCTCTTCCATTCAATGGACAATCCAAAATATATCGACATACGCGCATACAGTAAAATTAGAGAACGCATGGAAGGGTCAAAAAAAAAAAGTTAATATATTTGAAAGTAAAAGCCTGGATGCAGTACACTGTAAACAGCAAATGTTAATAAAAAAAAATAAAAAAACATTCTCAGGTTTCGTCAGCAAATCTGTCATAAGGATTGAGGGAGGAAGTTTTCGGAGGTGACGATGGTTCAAAGCTTTCTTGGTGATGCACTTCAAAATTCAAAGCACAGGTAAATCTGAAAACTCTTCTGGCAGTCAGGATGATTCTTAGGTCTGACCTTTTTAACTGTCATTATTTGGTAAAAGGCAAATCCTGAAGAAAAGGAAAATGGAATAAGATTTTTTTTTCTCTCTTCCATTCAATGGACAATCCAAAATATATCGACATACGCGCATACAGTAAAATTAGAGAACTACATAGTACCTTGGTTATTGTAAATTAGGGTCTGTGTTGACATAATCAGAGCTGTCCCGTTCATCACTGCTTTGACTTCCACGGGACAGACCTGTTGAGGAGGAGGACCATAAAGAATAATTAATTATTTGGTATGTTGATCATATAAAAATAAAACTTTATATAATTATTGTTTGATAAATTATAAATACATTTTATGGTTTTAGCTAATGTAATACATTTTGCTATTCTTGTGTTTGTAAAGCCCTGCTTTTTTGCATTTATCAAAGAGCAGCCTGCATTTGGAAAATATATTTTAAATATTAAGTAAATATATATATTTATACACTACCAGTCAAAAGTTTTTGAACAGTAAGATTTTTAATGTTTTTTTAAAGAAGTTTCTTCTGCTCACCAAGCCTGCATTTAATGGATCCAAAGTACAGCAAAAACAGGACAATTCTTAAATTTTTTCAGGTTTCTTTGATGACTAGAAAGTTCAGAAGAACAGCATTTATCTGAAATCGAATCTATCGACCAGATTGTCACTGAATTTTTGTGGGGTGGTAAAGTGCCCAGAATTCGGAAATCGTTGCTTCAAAGATGCCAGCTGAACGGTGGGCTCTCTTTACCCAATTTCA